ACATTTTATTGGGGTGAAGCAATAAATGCAAAATACAATCAGGAAGTTATAAAGTACATTCTAAATAGAGAAGAACTCTGGGAATAAACATCCTCGCATACAGATTTATAGACATTACATTAGGGCTGTGGCCAAGGAAGCTTGTGGCGTGGAGGGGACACTCCTGAGGGCAACCTTCTGGTGCGTCCTCAGGTGGCGGTGGTAGGTGGATGACTGGCGGTAGCTTCTCCGGCACAGGGGACACGCATAGGGCTTCTCCCCCGTGTGGATTCTCTCGTGAGCCCGCAGGTTGGTTTTGTGGCTGAAGGCCGCTTTGCACGTGCTGCACAGGAAAGGCTTCTCTCCGGTGTGGGTCTTCTGATGCACACGCAGGTCTGATGCCTGGAAGAAGCCTCTGTTGCACTCGGCACAAACAAATGTCCTCTCATTCCGGTGTCTCCTCTGATGAACTTTCAACCGAGAGAAATACCTAAAGACCTTGGGACAGTCCTCACACTTGTATGCTTTTTGGACTCCGTGGAATCCTTCTCGGTGTTCCTCGCAAGCAGAGTTTCCCTCAGTGCTCCGACGGGCAGGAACAGGCTCCAGGGTGACCTGGTCTGGCCCGGAGAGAAAGCCTGCTTCCTCCAGAAGGACATCTTGATGAGAGGCTCCTTCCAGGGGCCCTTCCTGGGACCTGGAGGTGCCTGGACCTGCTCTTCTGGAGCGGAGTGGATTCTCCAGAGAAACAGCCCCTTCTTCCAGCCGAGGACAGTTCTCTTGTTGGACAATGAGCAGGAGAGGTGTCTGATCACTTTGACTAGTAATACTGTCATTTGCTTGACAGGTTTTCGAAGAAACGTTGCCGCCACTTTCTTTATCTTCATTTCCTGGTTGGGGGTGTGGAGAGAAAGTGACTCCGTGCAGCTGTACCCGAGGCCAAGTCCACACAGAGCACCCCTGCTACCCGGACTTACCCTTCTCTCTCTGCCCTGTTTCCATGGAAGTGTCTTGAGGAGTCCAGAAAGGTGACCCCACGTTCACGCTGTTTGGGATTCCCATGGCCAGCTGGTTTGTTAGATGCACAATGACTTCTCTTAAGGGCATATTCTCAGAAAAGAGGGCTTCCTGTCCCTGCATGTGGACGTGGACCTGT